TGTGCAAGCCAAGCAAGGAATTCGTTCACTGCTTCGTGTCGGCAGCCATCTCCGGCGAAGCAGGGCTCCGTCACGTGTGTCGGTGACTCGGGAAGACAAACGCCATCGCCCCAAATGTCCCCCCTTCCTCCCTCTTCGCCCGGCTTTACATGCTGAGCACGACGTCACAGGGTGTGGAGTATCCCTTGGGTCGAGTTGGGGTCGGCTGTCCTGGCCATGCCCCAGCTTCTTGTGCCCCCCAGCCCACGTGCTGGTGGGGTGCGATGCGGAGCAGAACAGCCCTGGGCACTGTGCAAGCGCTGCTCAGTGATAGTGAAAACATCCCTGTGTTACCAACACTGTTTTTCAGCACAAATCCAAAACCTAGCCACATGCTAGCTGCTGTGAAGAAAATTAACTCCATCCCAGCCAAAACCAGCACATGGGTATTTGAGCAAAAGATGTCTGCAAAGCATCCCTTTTACAAATTAAATCCTCTGTTCTTTGAGGGGCATATAGTCTTGGAGGTGGAACTACCTTGGAGACTAATCATGGAGGCTCCAGCATACACAGAGAAATCATCTAGGCTAGGTGCTGAGGGGGGCTGGTGTTTCTGGTCATCAGTGCTGCACGGGCTTGCCTGCCTTCCCCGAGCCATGATGAGAGCAAGAATGTGGGTAATAGCGTTAATTAACTGGTGTGATAACCTGACAGGGAAGCGTAGCAGATGGTGTGCAGTGGATGGATCCAGTGGGTACAGATGAAGCAGTTGGCTGAGGGCTTGTTGTAAGTTACAGTACAATAAGAGATGGGGCTGCGGGCTTGGGTGAGGTAGGCTGGGGTACGTGGCCTTGACAAGAGTTGGAGAACTATCTTCGTTGCGGTTATTCAATATCCTGTTGTATAGATCTGTGGCCTCTGTGTTTGAGAACTTTAGCATCGGCCTTATTGAGAAAACTTTATCTGTATTTACCTGGCCTAGAAAGAATGTGATGCTTTACCACTGCATCAGTTTTTTCTGAATGTGCTGTTGTTCATTTGCCGGCAGATGCCTTGGTGAGATAAGCCTGCTCCAGAACAGAGTGCTGTCATTTTTCAAGACTGACTTACATGTGTGGAATGACTAGTGGGGGAAGAAAAGACCACTGTTTTATTTGAATGGGTTTTTTTCTCTGAGATATGATGCCCTTGACAGTACTGGCTGATGGTTAACACTCATTTTCTGTGTTGAATGTGATAATAATGTGCTGATTATAAACCATGGTTTGACTAATAGAAACAATGGCGAGAAGGACTGTCATAGCAAAAGAGGAAGTCATTTTTTTAAAATGCTGTAGCTGAAATATTTCACTGTGTTACATTAGATGTAAACTCGTACTTTGGTGATATAGGTCTGGCAGTCGTGGACGCCATTTAGTCTCTGTGACTTTCCCTCCCTGCTCATGAGGGTTTTTTTCTCTCACCTGCTTTCCCTTTATCTTCTCCTATTGTTCTGTGGTAACTGTCAGGAAAGCTGGGTTTCTAAGTGGTTCTTGTGTCCACTGTGCTTATTTTCTGAAATGGTGAATTACAGCAGTTTTATTTTCCAGTGACAGTCATCACTTTTGCCTTTATGTTGAATAACATAT